CGCCTCTCTCTTTCCCCTTTCTCTCTCTTACAATCTCTATCTTTTCACCTTTCTCTTTCCACCTCTCTCTTTCCATCTCTTTCCACCTTTCTCGCTCTCTTTTCCCTCTTTCCTTCTCATATCTCTTTCCACCTCTCTCTTCCCACCTCTCTCTTTCCACCTCTCTTTTTCCCCCTCTCTCTTCCCACCTCTCTCTTTCCACCTCTCTTTTTCCACCTCTCTTTCTTTCCATGTCTCTCTTACCATTCTCTCCCTTTCCACTTTTCTCTCTCTTTTTCTACCTCCCTCTTCCCACATCTCTCTCTCTTTCTACCACTCTCTTTCCACCACTCTCTTTCCACCTTTCTCTCTCTTTTTCCGCCTCTCTCTCTCTTTCCACCTTTCTCTTTCCACCACTCTCTTTCCACCTTTCTCTCTCTCTCTCTTTCCACTTCTCTCTCTTTCCACCTCTCTCTCTTTCCACCTTTCTTTCTCTTTTTCCACCTCTCTCTCTCTCTTTCCATCTCTCTCTTTCCAACTCTTTCCACCTATCTCTCTCTCTCCCTACCTCTCTCTTCCACCTCTCTCTTTCCACCTCTCTTTTTTCCACCCCTCTCTCTTTACACCTCTCTCTTTCCATCTTTCTCTCTCTTTCCACATCTCTATGATTGACTCCGTTCTTATTTATATTCCAGCATTCTTTAAATAAACAATATTTTAAATATTTAAAAAATATTTTTTGCCATATTTAAAAAATATTTTCAAGTGAATACGATTTTAAATAATTTTGGCCCATTAAAAATATTTTTAAGTCTAATTTAAAAATATTTAAGTGAACAAGATTTAAAAATACGAGTTATTTATACAGTATTTTTATTTCAACTTTCTTCAAACAGATATTTTTTTTCATGTTGAAATCAACTGCAAAGTTAAACCTGAACCGTCGGTGACCCAACGAGTCACGGCTAGTCTAGTAGTGAATAAAATGTATAAAGGTTAGAATTCTGTGCACGTTCTTACTTGACACAAATAATCACACATGGAGTAATGGATAGCGGATCGGAATAAAAAATCGAAGAGCCGAGTTCGAATTCCAGTCGAATCCATTGCATTCATTTACTTGCCAATAATCTTGGGAAAGGTATGAATCCTCTTCTTCTCCCCCAGCTATGGGTAAATAGCAGGACAAATCGGGTTCTATAGCCTTGACGGGTCTACCGCAGAAAGAAATGACAATCTACTGCGGGAAAAAGGAGTAATTGATAGCATTGAGGAATCGGAGAGCAGAGGTCAAATTCCAAAGAATCCATTATATCCACTTATGTGCTAATACCCCTGGGAAAGGGTATGAATTCTCTTTTTCTCTCCCTAGCAATAGCAGGACAGACCGGGTTCTATAAACTTGGATGGCAACTGGTCTACCGCAGAAAGAAATGGCAATCTACTGCGGGAAAAATTTGCCTCGTCAGTCAGGTATTTAAAGATAAATGATCACCTAAGCGTGTATCACGCATGGCATATAACTGACTGAAACAAACGTAATGGCACAATACCTTGACTTTATGAATTTAAGAAGCGGTGTTCACGTAAACGTTTACCCTCTGGAAAAAACTTCCATCAAATATAAAGAGATCGACAATTAACATTCAATTCATGTGCAGTTAAACATTACAAGACAGAAATTTGAAGGAAAAAATAAGGAAATAAAAGTAAGAATATATGAACTCTGATCTTAAAAAATTTTAGTTGGTTCTCTGTGTCTTGCCTTTTTCTACCATGAGAAGAAACCTTTAGATTTGTTTACATTCTCTGGAATATAAATATATAGAAACTACAGTGGGCAAAAAGTAAGGGATCAGTTTATATATTGATTTTAATATAGGATCGATCCCCCACTTTTTTACACATTATAATTTCTTGTTTGTTTAACAAATTCTGATTAGGTATGAATCCACCTCTTCTCTTCCCAGCTATGGGTTAATTAGTAAGATTGTATCACTAAAACATTATTAATTGAAGTCAAAAAATTGCATCCGGAATAAAGATTTACTACCCACCCCACTGAGTCAGTTTGTGACACAGGGTCAATTTTTAACGTAGGGACCCGAGTGTTTTCACACGGGACGCTGATCCAAACTGATCTTAGCTGGTCATAGCTTGTCCAAGCTGCTCAGAGCTGGTCTAAGCTAGTCATAGCTGGTCTTGGCTTTCATGGCTGGTAGCTGGTCCCAAGACTTCAGAGCCGGTCAGTTTAGTCGTAGCCGTGATACCACTAGCACAGGGACAGATCCCTGTGCCAGGTAAGTATTTGCATCCGAAATAAGTCCGGCGTTAAATATGTTATAGAGATATTGGTATGCAACAAAACAAAAACAACCAAACCAATTTTTTTTTTTACAAAATTTAACCCAATACAAGGCTCGTGAGACACTTAAGTTAGAGTTTTACAGTTGGACTGTTAATAATAAATTAGATGTGAAATACGAATGGAGAAGAATGTGGTACGACGTAGAGATTATGAGGATATTGAAGATAAATAATGATTGTCTATAGACTTAAAAATGTCAAGATTAAAATACATATAGGAGTACCCACGCGAGGGACCGTTCAACAAAGTCACAGACTTTGAGAAAAAAAGTGTCCACTGGGAATACTGAGAAAATTAATGTTACCTTCTCTTTTTCTTAATCTCTATCTCTCAATTTTTCTCCTTACTTCTCTCTTACTCCTTCTCCTTCCCTCCCCGTCTCTCTTGCTCCATCTTTCTATTTTTTCGTTCTTCTCACTTTCTCTCCCTATATATTTCTATCAACCTCTCCTTGCCTTCTCTCTCCTCATCCTCTCCTTCACCCCGCTTATCTCTATCACTCTTCCTGTTTTTCTCTATTCAACTCTCTCTCTCTCTCTCTCTCTCTCTCTCTCATTCTCCCGGTCTCTCTTGCTCAATCTTGCTATTTTTTCCTTCAGATCTTTCAATCTCCCAAAATATTTCTATCAACCTCTCTTTACAATTTCTCTCTCTTCATCTTGTTCTTCACCCCGCTTAACTATCACGCTTCTTGTCATCTTCCTGTTTCAAAATTCTTCACCTGAGTAATTTCTCACCTCTTTCTGAAATTTTATATCTCTATCTATCTATCTATCTATCTATCTATCTATCTATCTATCTCAGCAGTAGAAGGAGTCATTTGAAAAAAATACCAGAGACTTATTCTCATAATTAGTAAACAAAACCTTGAGCTAATTAATCAAATGTTAAATCCACCTTTACAAATGATTGCGATTTACTTGACCCAGCCACTTAAATCACGATTGACAGCGCAGCCGTTGAGCTTCAGGAAAAAAAAAACTAGAGCGTCCCTTCTCAAAGTACAAACATCTAACCCAACAACCTTCTAGCAACACCCTCGCCGCTACAAATCTTCCTCACAACCGGAAGGCATTTGCAATAGTATTTGTTAACGCCGTTCATTTCCGATTTTCAAATTGATTTCTAAACATATTTCTTACTTGAGATATTTTCATTTGAAATATTAAATATTTGATGTTCAATGAAGGAAATACATTTGAATTTGAATTCTCGTTAGAAACGCTTATGTGATTCGCAGCTAATTTAAACTCTCTCTCTCTCTCTCTCTCTCTATATATATATATATATATATATATATATATCACTTTCTTACTCCCTCTCTCTCTTTCTTTTTCTCTTTCTCTATTCTTTCTTTTTTTTTCGATCTCTATCTTTTTTGCATCTCTATCTATCTATCTCTCTCTATATATTTTTCTTTCTCTCAATTTCTTTTTCCACTCCCTTTCTTTCTCTTTATCTCTCTCTCTTTTTCTTTATTCATTTTTCCATCTCTCTCAGTTGCTCACATCTATCTATCTATCTATCTATCTATCTATCTATCTTTCTTTCTTTCTCTCACTCTCTTTTTCTCAGTCTCTTTCTTTCTATATCTCTTTCTCTCTCTTTTCATTCATTTTTTCCTCTCTCTCGGTTGCTCACATCTATCTATCTATCTATCTATCTTGTAAAGTTTGTTCATACTTATTTTATCGTAGTCACACTTTTTATGTCTATCAATATTCATCTATCTATCTATCTATCTATCTATCTATCTATCTTGCTCAGTCTGTTCATATCAATCTATCTTAATCTGTTCATATCTATCTATATCTGTTCATATCTAAGTCTGTTAATTTCTAGCTTTCTATCTTGCTAATTCTGCTCATATCTACTTCAGCCTGTTCCTATTTAACTTTCTTGTAAAGTCTGTTAATATATATATATATATATATATATATGTAAGCAAATATATGGATATAAATCCGACAGTATGAAAGAAAAATTTACCGGCCTGAAAATTTCTCAGACATTCAGGCTGGTAAATGTTGTTTAATACTGTTTATTATAAAACAGAGCATTTACTTAAATATTTGTATCTATAAAAAGAATGTATAAACATAAAAATGTCTTTAAAATAATTGAAATCGGAATTTGTCCATTTATAAATGTGACGTAATTTGTTTCAATTTGGATACGCTTTGAGTGGATATGAATGTTTTGAGAGATCATGGAAGATTGTAGTTTAAAAACAGTAAATTTATTTTTTAGATTAACCGAATTTCCTCTTGGCTCAATCGGTTAAGACACGTCCGGTTATATGACGGTTCCGTATAGGATACAAGTTCGAATCATTAACGGAAAACGAATATTTTCTGTGAAAATTTCTCGATATTTTTTTTCACCAAAAAAAATTTAAATGGCACAGAATTAATTGACGGTTCCGTATAGAATACACGTTCGAATTATGTCGGAGGAAAATAACAAAGAAAATTTATCGGATATAAGGCCGGTAAATTTTATTTTTAATATATTTTTATTGAAAACAGAGCATTTTTTTTAAATATTTGTATCTATAAAAAGAATGTATAAACATAAAAAAATGTCTTAAAATTGTATTTAGAGACAGACAGAGAGTGAAAAGAAAAACACATCAAACCGGGACTGCAGCCAAACATTTAGAAAGAAAACATTTAATCTTGAAGAGGCTAAAATTAACGTTAGGTATTTCCTTACATCGAAAAAAAATAAGATCAATTTGCGAATTAAGAAATTATTTTTACATATTTTAAGGGTAAATATTAAATCGATTAAACATTTCAGTTTTTAAGAACAAAAAAACAATTTTTCATTATCAAATGCGACAGGACTTCGTTCCAAGCTAATATTAAAAGTTAAATTCACGTTATATTTATCAGATGCATATTGAAAAAGGAAGTGTCATCATCAAACCACGAATACAGCCAAAAATGTTATGCTCTGGGTCATGAAGAATGTCGTCTATCCTGAAGTGCTAAACCATAAGGGAAACGATTAATGCAAATACGTATTGTCGTCAATTGAAAAGCAAAAAAACAAAAAAAAAAAGAAAAAAAAAAAATAAAATTAATTAATCGTATAACGTGTCTATTCTTACAAAATAAAGCACAAAATTTTATATTGAAGAGTCACTCAGGCAAACATCCTCCTTACTCTCCTGGCACTGCTCCATCTGACTATCATCTTTTCAGATCGTTGTAACACTTTTAGAGGAAAACAATTTATTAATTGTAAAGAGTTTAAAATCGAAACTGATTATTTCTTTGCATTGAAATGTGAAGAAGTTTATGTCTGAGGGAAAAACATGTTGCCAAATAAAATGAGATTGTCTTTTCCATATAGGAGGGGGGGAATAATATCTTGATTATACAGATCAATTAAGACAGTAATTTGAACAGGCGTAGATGTTTATCCATTGTTTCCTGTTTAGGATTGGGTTTCCGGTTCCTTCTAAAGTCTGCTTCAACACTATACTTCTAACATCTCCGCCTCTATCTCTTAAATCTTACTTACGAGAGTCTGTCTATATTTCTGAGATTATTATGTACATTATTTACATTATTCGGACTATTGTCCTCATTTTTTCGCCATTTATTTATTACAACGTTCGGTCGTTGTACGCTTTGGCTTTCTTCAGGTATTGGAATGTCAAATTGAACTGGGGTTTTATGAAAAGTTCCATTGCCATGTTTGATGGATGTTAATATTTTTCTGAAAATTAAAACCGGCAATTGAACTCAAAGATTCGTTTGGGTCCCTGTCACTGGATCTAATCAACGCCTTAAATCCACTGTTCATTGGGTATTGAGACACAAAAATTTAAATTATAAAATAATGTCTTCAGCAAACCATTTTACCAGTGCTGTCATTTCAATTTTTTGTTGTTATTATGCATTTTTTTACCAGAGAAAGATTACAATTTTTTGTTGTTATTATCGCTTTTCTCTTTGGAAAAAAATTACTGGTTCCTATATTTATTTCATTTTCAAATGCTTTTATGCAGAAATACAAGGATATTTTTTGGCCTAGCAATGAGCTGATAAATTAAGTTTACCTTTTTTTCCAATGGCGTTTGTTTTTTGTCTATAATCTAAAAAATGAAATCCCATTTTTTTTGATGGTAAAATTTCTTTATTACTAGTGATTGCATGTCAAAACATTTTTAGAAAAATAATGATTGTAAATCATTCTCATAAATTTTTTCTTAAAAATTTATGCATTTCAATTTTACTCAATGATTTGCCGATCTGACCTCCATCTTCTGGCTTTTCAAATATATTTTGGAGGAGTTTTTTTTTGAATCAAAATGAAATATACTTTTAAGTTATGAGAATCTAAAATTTTTCAGGATATATCTAATTATGGGGTCTATCTCAAGAAAAACAAGAAATTCGATAACAGACTTTGAGTTTAATGGATGACTTTCCATTATATAAAAGATAAAGCCTTTTTTTTTTTTTTAGAGATTCTCAACATTATCGTATTATCGGTCTTGACCTGGCATCTCGAATATGTTTTTATCCCCACCGCCGCTTCTCTGATGTCTTCCTATAAATTTTTTTCATGATGATTATTTCAGATGAGCTTTGCTCTTCGGTCCTTCGACGTTAGGAATTGAATCTTTGTCCTGGGAAATTTAAATAAACTTACATAGAAGCATTTTCTATTTTTATATATTTATTTATTTGTTTTCTATGGGAAATAGGAGTAGATAGGTTAAAAAAAAATCTTTCCTGGATAAAAGCACTTTTCCTTTGATTCGATAGGTGTAGATAGATTCAAATATCGTCCGGTTCAAAGACTCCCTTGTTTTTGATTAAAAGTTGAGGTTTTTCCTAGTTTCAAAAGGATATAGGAAAACCGGTGCCTTCTGAAAGATGAAAAAAAAGTCTTGGTGGATTTATCAATTTTGCCTCTTACTTTTTAACAATTACCTTGAGTGGTTCTTAGGCCTTGTACAGGGAGAACATCCTTGTTAAAAAAAAAACGTATTTGTTTCTTTCCTACCCTCAAACCTTTCCTGGGTAAAATCATCAATGTTTAGTCACAACTGAAAAAGGATCATTCACTCACAAACTAGGACTACTCCCCCCCCCAAAAAAAAATAGGCTCTATATGTGGATGGTTATTTAGGATATCGTCTATCATGAAGTTCAAAGACAAACTGACAGAATTAATGCAGAATAGTATTATATATCAATTGGGTTATATGCGTATAAATTTACAGAGAAAAAAATTTCAGATCATTGGTTATTCGTATAGCCTATAATGTTTCTCTGACATGATAATACAAGACCACGATATTGCCTAAGAGACTCAAGAAACGATTATAACACTAAATATGGAAGTTTCGCCTCGTCCACCTTACTCTCCTTCACATGCTCCATCTGACCATTTATTTATATTTCTTTAAAATATCTTTTCAATTATGTTTGTTTTTGTTTCGTGTTAGCTTTAACAATTTAAGAAGAATTATTTTTAATTCTCCGTAAAACAGTTAATTGCAGAGATAAAAATACTAGTGACCCATTTGTCATTAAGAGTTAAATTTTTTTGAGCGTGCAGTAATGTGACGCAAGATGTTTGAATATTGTAATAATGTAGTAATTCTCAATTTTTTTATGGTATGTGTTTTTACCGTTAACGTGACATGGACGTATAGTTAGATAGTTAGAGCAATGTCCCAGAATATTCCAGAAATTTTTAATAATAGCACACTTTTAAATTTTTTTTTTTGTTGTTTTTTAAACACTGTTATTAATAGCTTCTTTTTTTTTTTTAAATTATTATCTAAAAAACAAGTATCACATTCATTTCATCTTGGAATTTTAAAAAATAATATCTATGCCTGATGATGATAAATGTTTTTTTTGAAAGTACTTGCAATATGAAAAACATTCATCCACAATACAATTAATAAGAAGAAGGATCGAATCATTCAAAAATCAATCAGTGAGCATTCTTAATATATTTTGAAGTGAATTCGCATTTTTTATTGGTTTATTCTTTGAATACTATTTTATATATTAAGACATATTATATATATATATATATATATATATATATATATATATGTATAAATTAATGTGCACTTTAAAATTTATATAAATTTTTATTTGTATTTGCGATAGAAATAATCTGTAAAAAATGTTATAAAGTTTAATGTACCTAGTTTTAAGTATAGCTAAAATAACTAATGTGATTTCAGGCATTACTGTAAATCAGTTGGCAAATGTTTTCCGTGAATTGCAAAATCGTATTACCCTTTGTATTGCTAATGATGGAGGACATGTGGAAACTTAAATAAAATTTCAATAAAACCTTAAAAAATATGGATTTACTTCTTTCTAATCCTTTTTACAAATTATTTCTATCGCAAATACAAATAAAGTTATAAATTTTTTTAAAGTGCACACGAACTTTATGGACAGCATGTATATATATATATATATATATATATATATATATATATATATATATATATATATTATTTGTCCTCTACACAAAATATTTTTTTTACTAATTTTAAAAAATTCAGAATGCGTGATTTAAAACATTTTGATTTGGAAATTTAATTTTATAACTGAATAATTTAAAATGGACAATTATTCAGGCTAAATGACATGAAACATTACAGATATATAACTAAAGATTCCATAAATTTTCAGATATGAATGAATTTTTTAAATATGTTAAATGTATGAATAGGATCAGATAATATATAATATATAAAAAATATATAAAATAAATATGTTTATGAAGAATTATGTTTT